GTTAAAAAAAACAAAGCACTTTTGTTTCAGGTACATAAAAAACATTTTTTTTATCTTATAAACCTGTGCTTCTGTTTAGCCCCGGGTTTTTTCTGAAAAGGTAAAAAATACGCAACAGTTTTCAGGGAAACATTGAAAACCCTTTTTGTCCCTAAAACCTGGAGTTGGGAAAACAAAGGGGATTTTGTTTCCGTATGTGGTTTACAGTGTGCTTATACACATGTGGCATTTAACATTATTGTTTGGGAAAAAAAAAGGGACTCTCTGCCCAGTTGTCCCTTCCACTTGTGTAGCCGTGATTTTGGTGAAAAGAATTGTATTTTTCCATGGGTTTTCACGTATGTGTTGGTTTCCCTACAATGATTTTCCCTCAGGGGGTTTATCGAAGAATAACTCAAAGCCCGTTTCCGTTCACTGGCATTTTTCCCCCGTGGACAAGATGGGTTTAAATTTCCAAATTTGTGTTTTTATCAAAATTTGGGGGGCGGGGAAAAAATCGTCACCGTCCTGCCCAACCCAGATTTCGGTCTGTTATGGGGTTGGGTATTTTTTACGGGGGTTTGGGGTGGGTTGTGGCTTTTTTGCAGGTTTTGGTGGGGCAGGGTTTTGGCAGTGTGGGGGGAAAGGGGGAGGTGGTTTTTCTCTGAGTCACCGCGGGGGCTAGTAGCGTGGCCCGGGGATGGGGGCCACATGGGGGGGGGGGGCCCCCCTCACTAACACCAAACCCCTTGCCTCCTCCCTCACTGTCACCATTCAAAACCCCTCGTTACCCAAAATCGTCATCTTTTAAATATCAGGGCGTGGTTTGGGCCACGGGATTTTGCTCCCAGGTTTCTCCTTCCCCCCTTTGGGAAAAACTATGAAAACTTAACCCGGGCCCCATGCTACGTGTTTCCCCACTGGGGCTTAACCCGGGGAATATTTACTCTCACTGTCACTAAACTGCTTTCAATGACTTTTTAAATCACTATCACTATCAATATCACTATCACTGGGTATCATAAAGGGGGTTTTTACAGACCAAATTTGTTTCCTCTTTCGTCCTGGTACAGGCGAAAAGTGAACGTGAACAAGCCCGCACAGCACCAGAGGGCGAAGGTTTTTGGGTCCTCTGGGTTTTTTGTCACTATTTTTGTTTTTCCTGGGGGACTTTTTTTTTGGTAAAAACACCCCTTTTAAAACCCTTGGGAAATTTACGTCCCCGACACTTTTATCGCTGTTAGAGCTATCACTTGGGGGCAAAGACCTCCAATCCGGAGGAGTGGGGAAATTTTACCGGGGAGCATGGTTTAAAATTTGGGCTGACAACTGGCTTCCCAACAATGCACCGCTAGGTCCCAGATTTTTTTCACAGGGTGCACACCGACCACTGAGACCCCTTCTCTCCCGTGTAGGCCTATCAGGCCTTTGGCGCTCGATTTGAAGCCGCTAGAATTTGTGCGTATAAATACGTCAGAAACATTGGCTCGTAAGACGTATTTATACGTCGGAAACAGTCAAAGGGTTAAAAACCATTTGTCTCCATTCACTCCTATCAAACACGCTCACGCATGCCTGCTGGAAGTCCAAGCCCCTCGCACACAAAACCTCCTTTACCCCCTCCCTCCAACCTTTCCTAGGCCGACCCCTACCCTGCCTTTCTTCCACTACAGACTGATACACTCTTGAAGTCACTCTGTTTCGCTCCATTCTCTCTACATGTCCGAACCACCTCAACAACCCTTCCTCAGCCCTCTGGACAACAGTTTTGGTAATCCCGCACCTCCTCCTAACTCCAAACTACGAATTCTCTGCATTATATTCACACCACACATTGCCCTCAGACATGACATCTCCACTGCCTCCAGCCTTCTCCTCGCTTGCAACATTCATCACCCATGCTTCACACCCATATAAGAGCATGGTTAAAACTATACTCTCATACATTCCCCTCTTTGCCTCCAAGGACAAGGTTCTTTGTCTCCACAGACTTCTAAGTGCACCACTCATCCTTTTCCCCTCATCAATTCTATGATTCACCTCATCTTTCATAGACCATCCGCTGACACGTCCACTCCCAAATATCTGAATACATTCACCTCCTCCATACTCTCTCCTCCAATCTGATATCCAATCTTTCATCACCTAATCTTTTTGTTATCCTCATAACCTTACTCTTTCCTGTATTCACTTTTAATTTTCTTCTTTTGCACACCCTACCAAATTCATCCACCGATCTCTGCAACTTCTCTTAAGAATCTCCCAAGAGCACAGTGTCATCAGCAAAGAGCAACTGTGACAACTCCCTCTTTGTGTGATTCTTTATCTTTTAACTCCATGCATCTTGCCAAGACCCTCGCATTTACTTCTCTTACAACCCCATCCATAAATATATTAAACAACCATGGTGACATCACACATCCTTGTCGAAGGCCTACTTTTACTGGGAAATAATCTCCCTCTTTCCTACATACTCTAACTTGAGCCTCACTATCCTCGTAAAAACTCTTCACTGCTTTCAGTAACCTACCTCCTACACCATACACCTGCAACATCTGCCACATTGCCCCCCTATCCACCCTGTCATATGCCTTTTCCAAATCCATAAATGCCACAAAGACCTCTTTAGCCTTATCTAAATACTGTTCACTTATATGTTTCACTGTAAACACCTGGTCCACACACCCCCTACCTTTCCTAAAGCCTCCTTGTTCATCTGCTATCCTATTCTCCAATAATAACTCTACCATACACTTTACCAGGTATACTCAACAGACTTATCCCCCTATAATTTTTGCACTCTTTTGTCCCCTTTGCCTTTATACAAAGGAACTATGCATGCTCTCTGCCAATCCCTAGGTACCTTGCCCTCTTCCATACATTTATTAAATAATTGCACCAACCACTCTAAAACTATATCCCCACCTGCTTTTAACATTTCTATCTTTATCCCATCAATCCCGGCTGCCTTACCCCTTTCATTCTACCCACTGCCTCACGAACTTCCCCCACACTCACAACTGGCTCTTCCTCACTCCAAGATGTTATTCCTCCTTGTCCTATACACGAAATCACAGCTTCCCTATTTTCATCGACATTTAACAATTCCTCAAAATATTCCCTCCATCTTCCCAATACCTCTAACTCTCCATTTAATAACTCTCCTCTCATATTTTTAACTGACAAATCCATTTACTCTCTAGGCTTCCTTAACTTGTTAATCTCACTCCAAAACTTTTTCTTATTTTCAACAAAATTTGTTGATAACATCTCACCCACTCTGTCATTTGCTCTCTTTTTACATTGCTTCACCACTCTCTTAACCTCTCTCTTTTTCTCCATATACTCTTCCTCCTTGCATCACTTCTACTTTGTAAAAAACTTCTCATATGCTAACTTTTTCTCCCTTACTACTCTCTTTACATCATCATTCCACCAATCGCTCCTCTTCCCTCCCACACCACTTTCCTGTAACCACAAACTTCTGCTGAACACTCTAACACTACGTTTTTAAACCTACCCCCATACCTCTTCGACCCCATTGCCTATGCTCTCATTAACCCATCTATCCTCCAATAGCTGTTTATATCTTACCCTAACTGCCTCCTCTTTTAGTTTATAAACCTTCACCTCTCTCTTCCCTGATGCTTCTATTCTCCTTGTATCCCCTCTACCTTTTACTCTGTGTAACTACAACTAGAAAGTGATCTGATATATCTGTGGCCCCTCTATAAACATGTACATCCTGAAGTCTACTCGACAGTCTTTTATCTACCAATACATAATCCAACAAACTACTGTCATTTCGCCCTACATCATATCTTGTATACTTATTTATCCTCTTTTTCTTAAAATGTGTATTACCTATAAATGTTACTTTTTTTCCTCTGACTTTTTTTTCCTAGCCAAATTGTGACTTACTTTCTGTGACTTTTTTTCCCGACACCGTATGTCTCCTTTGTTCTAATTTTAGGAAAATAATGGTGTAACAGTGGAATTGGATATGATTGCTGAGAGTAGGACCTGCATAGCTTGGGATAGGGGACCTACTGCAGTGATTTTATTTAGAAGAGCAACACCTCCAGATGTGTCGGGGCCAAGTTCTATCATAATGTCTGCATGTTTACTACCATGGAGCATCTCACAAAAACTTCTGCCAACTCATCAGGAATATTTCCTCTGTATGCTCATTTTTTTCCCAAAAATTTACAGTGTGATTACTCGGTTATCTTTATAATTACCATCTGGGTAAGTGTTTTCATTCATGATTATTGAAGTCGCATCATAAATGCCAAGAACTGTCAACTTAAACTTTATACATGTGTAACAAATCTGACACTTATCTTTGATTACACCTGGCTTCCCCTTTCAGCAAAACAGAGACAGTCTGAGTCACTTAACAAATAATGTTCATAAATGCAATGTGATTACTATTGCTGGATTTTTAATGAAAAAAGTTAACTGCTTTTATTTGAAACTTGAATATTAACTACAGCCTATCTTCACTTAGTGACATAAGTCGTTTACCAACAACTCAGACTTAAGATGGGCTCTCTGACCACAATACATAAATAATAATGTTATTAGAGCTGATTTCCTCTATTCTGTTTAATCAGTTATACAGTACATTACTGTATAAACATTAAAAAATATGCCAGAAATGTTACAAATGGTACAAAGGTGACATTTCAACAGCATCAAAAATGGTTGACACCAACTCATACCATTACAGTATGCTTCTCACTTTGCGACGAATTTGTTTACCGATGTTTGTCTTAGGAACGGAACTATGTCGTTAAGTGAGGAGAGGCTGTATGTAAGTTGGTGCTCTTTATGTATATACTGCCCCTTCTCCTGTATAAATTACCAACTTTAAAAAGAAAAACTTTTGTTTTTCTTTTTGGGTCACACTACCTTGGTGGGATACGAATGGTTTGTTGAAAAAGAAAATGTTTACACTGTACTGTCATAATACTATATTCTTTCCTCTAGTTACCATTTAATCTTTTTCCTCTTGACAGTATGATCAACCGCATGCATACTATGGAGTATTTGATGGTCATGCTGGCATAGATGCAGCTGTATACAGTGCTGACCTCATCTACATCAGTACATGATTCAGAAACCCACAATATGAGATGAACCACAGAAGCAGCACTCAAACACGCTTTCCACATAACCGACACAATTTTGTCAGAAAGCAGCAAAGAGGTTAGTTTAAACATTGTTTAAAGTTATAGACCCCTAAAGGTCAGTCTGTTTTTTTTTCCACTTGAAGTTCTAACTGTATTTAAAAGAAAAGGTAAGATTTTGTTCGGATTTTCAACCCAGAGGGTTAGCCACCCAGGATAACCCAAGAAAGGCAGTGCATCATCAGGGACTGGTCTGTCTGATTTCATTGGGGCTCTCAATCTTCTCTCTCAGGATGTGACCCACACTAGCTGACTTAAACCTAAATACTGTACCTTCAGTGGTACCCGAGTTTCGGCCATAATTCGTTCAAGTGTCGTTACCGAACGAATTTGTTCCTATAAGGAATAATGTAAATTAGATTAGTCCGTTTCAGACCCCCAAAAACACACTTAAAAAAGCACTTACAGTAATACACTTACATATTGTTCGAGTTGGGAGCTGTACGAAACTCAGGGTACCACTGGACTTGCTTGGTAGGTGAATGGGACAAGAGATGTAAGGAAACACACCCACTGTTCCCACCCTTGCTGGAATTGAACCATGGACACTCAGCATGTGAGTATGTTTACTATCGTATACATATTCATGGAGAGTGAGGTAAGAATAATAAAGAATTGTACATCAGGTGCTGATGATGATGGGTAACAGTGGGCCTAGTGGTCTATTATTTAGGTTTGAACTGGTGTTTGATTACAGGTCAGGTGTTTCCCATATTCAATAATGTGTTTTGAAGGTTTTGCTTGCTGCAAGCACCATGGTTCTGTTTAGTAGTGTACATTATGCCAATGATTGCTGGTTCCAGGCACCATCTGAATATGTGACCTTCTTTATAATAAGTTTGGGGTTTCCATGTCATAAGGTGTCAGTGTTTGTCATGATGAATGACACATGCATTGTTTGTCTTATTAGACATATGAGCATAATGACATTCTCTAAATTCTGTTGTCTAAGCTCTGTTGTTTCTTTTGTTTATTGTTAATGCACTTGGAATAACGTATACCCCAGCACTGCTGCTATTTGATTCTGTGTTCAGGTTTTTGTAATATCACAAGTGGTTTTTGAGGTTGTGATAGCTGTGTTAGTGCCACTGCTTTTCAGTGCCTTGGCGAGTAGATCTGTGAGTTGCCTGTTTGAAATACAAGGTGCCTGTCTGAGTTGTCATCTTTAGAGGTAGGTAGGATTTTCTGTTCCTGTCTGCAGTTTAGGATTAATTGTGACAAAAATTGTATTGCAGAAAAAGATGTTATTTATGGTGTCTCATTTGTCTTCATATAAATTTGGTGCTGCACATTCAGTGAGTTTTCAAAAAAGAAGCAAATGAAGATGTGTTATTTTTGCCTTTTAGGGATAGCAGGTGTAGGGAGGCTTTGCCCACAGATTCATCATGATCATTGAGCCACAGGTGACCCATTGATGAATGGGTAAATTTAGACCATATTTTGAGGTGGTAATAAATGTACACAGAAGCTTGGAATAAGGAAGTGGACACAGAAATTGAAACAAGGAAGTAGTTTGTTGAGGTTGAGAGGCCCTCTCCCAAAACTCCTTCTCAGGGTCGAAATTTTTCTAAAAAAAAAAATTCTAATAAAATGAATAGAGAATCTTTTTCCAATCATATGACAACCAAAAGTATGAAATATAATGGGAATTTATGGAATTATGCTTTTGTGAAGTTAGAGGTCTCAAAGTGGGCGATTTCACCCACTTTGAGCCCTATTTTCGGCCAATTCCAATGTTATAGTTGACTAAAATCATAGCTATTCTCTAGAACTCCATTTGTTCTATCAAATGGTACAAGAATCCTCCCATTTACCGATTTCAACTCCCCAAATTTAAAGTGGTCAGAAATTGGCAATTTGGTCAATTTCACACAAATTTCAAAAGATCCCAATTCAAAATAAGGTCCAGAATAAACAAGACAGACATTTATGGCACTAAAATAACATTTTATCTGTTCATTAGTCACATCTCTGGCCCCTCTTACTTTACTTTTGCTTTCTTTTTTGAATTTTTATTTTTCACAGAAAATAGAAGTCAGGCACTTGTGAAAGAATATCAGACTCCCCAGTTGACGTGTATTGGATGCGTGGCTTGATTTGTTTACTCTTGAACATTGGCAAAAATCGATCATTTCCGCTACTTTGAGCTCAGTTTCAAAGTACTTGTCATCATGAAACCAATCAGAATTATCTTTTAATTCTGTAATATTTCTTCCATTCTATCAAATGAGACAAAGGGGAAACCGAGAATAAAACCCACAAATACCATACGAAAATATACAGTGGACCCCCGCATAGCGACCTTAATCCGTGCAAGAGGGCTGGCTGTTATGCGAAATGTTCGCTATGTGAATTAATTTTCCCCATAAGAAATAATGGAAATAAATTAATCCGTGCAAGACACCAAAAGTATAAAAAAAAAATTTTTTTTACCACAAAAAAAATGTTAATTTTGTACACACAAACTGAAAAAGGCATGCACAATTACATGACACTTACTTTTTATTGAAGATCTGGTGATGATTGATGGGATGGGAGGAGGGGAGAGAGAGTGTTAGTGTTTAGAAGGGGAATCCCTTCCATTGGGGACTTGAGGTAGCAAGTCCTTTTCTGGGGTTACTTCCCTTCTTCTTTTAATGCCACTAGGACCAGCTTCAGAGTCACTGGACTTCTTTCGCACAACATATCTGTCCATAGTGGCCTGTACCTCTCGTTCCTTTATGATTTGTCAAAAGTGGTTCACAACACTTCATTGTAACAGTCACCAGCACGGCTTGCAATAGCTGTGTGAGGGTGATTTTCATCAAAAAGGTTTGCACTTCAGGCCATTTTGCACACATTTCCTTAAATCTTTGAAGTAGGCAATTCCTTCAATTTCTCCCTCCCCTCCTTTGAACCCGTTTCCCCAGGTCTGGCCTCTTGCTCTTGAAGTTGATCTATCAGCTCATCAGTGGGTAGTTCTTCATTTTCTCCTCCACCAACTCTTCCACATCCTCCCCACTAACCTCCAACCCCAAGGACTTCCCCAATTCCACAATTGATTCCTCAACTGGTTACTCCTCTCAGGGTTAGCCTCAAACCCTTCAAAATCCCCTTTTTTCTACACATTCTGGCCACGTTTCTTCCAAGCAGAGTTTTAAGGTTCTCTTAGTCACTCCCTCCCAAGCCTTACCCATAAGGTTTACACAATTGAGGATATAAAGTGATCCTTCCAAAACTCTTTTAGGTCAATCGAGTGTCTGTGGTCACTTCAAAGCACTTTTGAAACAGAGCTTTTGTGTACAGTTTCTTGAAGTTGGAAATGACCTGCTGGTCCATGGGTTGCAGGAGAGGAGTGGTATTAGGAGGCAAAAACTTCACCTTTAAAGAAGCTCATTTTCCCCATAAAGTCGCTCTGCCACGTCTGTAGGATGACCAGGGGCATTGTCTAACCCAGGAGGCACTTAAGGTCTAATTTCTTTTCAGTTAGGTAATCTTTCACATTGGGGGCAAATGCATGGTGTAACCAGTTATAGAAAAATTCCCTAGTGACCCATGCTTTACTGTTTGCCCTCCACAGCACACACAAATTAAACCTTGAGACATTCTTTTGCCTGAACGCTCTGGGAGTTTCAGAGTGATAAAACTAATAAAGGCTTAACTTTGCAATCACCATAGCATTGGCACACATCAACAAAGTAAGCCTGTCTTTCATAGGTTATGTCCTGGGAGTGCCTTTTCCTCCTGAGTAATGTAGGTCCTGCTTGGCATTTTCTTCCAGAAAGGCCTGTTTCATCACAATTAAACACTTTTTTCAGGTTTCAGTCCTTCAGTTTCTATGTACTCCTTGAATTCATGCATGATGAGGGAAAAAGAGTGAGTGGTGCACTTGGAGTCTGTGGAGACAAAGAACTTTGTCCTTGGAGGCAAAAGAGGGGAATGTATGAGAGTATAGTTTACCAACGCTCTTATATGGGTGTGAAGCGTGGTTTATGAATGTTGCAGCGAGGAGAAGGGTGGAGGCAGTGGAGATGTCATTTTCTGAGGGCAATGTGTGGTGTGAATTAATGCAGAGAATTCGTAGTTTGGAAGTTAGGAGGAGGTGCGGGATTACCAAAACTGTTGTCCAGAGGGCTGAGGAAGGGTTTTTTGAGGTGGTTCGGACATGTTAGAGAGAATTTGGACGAAAAGAATGACTTCAAGAGTGTATCAGTCTGTAGTGGAAGGAAGGCGGGGTAGGGGTCGGCCTAGGAAGGGTTGGAGGGAGGGGGTAAAGGAGGTTTTGTGTGCGAGGGGCTTGGACTTCCAGCAGGCATGCGTGAGCGTGTTTGATAGGAGTGAATGGAGACAAATGGTTTTTAATACTTGACGTGCTGTTGGAGTGTGAGCAAAGTAACATTTATGAAGGGATTCAGGGAAACCGGCAGGCCGGACTTGAGTCCTGGAGATGGGAAGTACAGTGCCTGCACTCTGAAGGAGGGGTGTTAATGTTGCAGTTTAAAAACTGTAGTGTAAAGCACCCTTCTGGCAAGACAGTGATGGAGTGAATGATGGTGAAAGTTTTTCTTTTTCGGGCCACCCTGCCTTGGTGGGAATCGGCCAGTGTGATAAAAAAAAAAAAAAAAAAAAATTTCAGCCGCTTTGTGGTCCGAACTGGCAGCCTCACCATGCCGTATCACACTATGTATGCCACTACGCTTCTTAAATCTCTCAAACCAACCTTTGCTGGCCTTAAATTCACTCACATCATCACTAGTTGCAGGCATTTTTTTAATTAAATCCTCATGCAACTTCCTAGCCTTTTCACATATGATCGCTTGAGAGACGCTATCTCCTACTAGCTGTTTTTCATTTATCCACACCAATAAGAGTCTCTCAACATCTTCCATCACTTGCGATCTTTGTTTCGAAAACACAGTTAAACCTTTGGCAACAACACTTCCTTGATTGCCGTTTTCTTGCCCACAATAGAA